AAAAAAAAAAAAAAAAAGAAAAAAATGGATTTAGTCCACATATTGCTACTACACCCATAGGCACATGAACAAGTCTCACTTCCAGTCTTTTAGTCTCATCTCTAAAGAGTTTTAAAAGTTCTGTTCACCTCTAAAATGTGATGGTATCTAGGCCACTGGCTCACACCTGTAATCTCAGAGCTTTGGGAGGCAGAGTTGGAAGGATTGCTTGAGGGTGGAAGTTCAAGGCCATCTTGAGCAACATGTCTACAAAAAATAGAAAAATTAGCCAGGTTTGGTAGTGTACTCAGCCATTTAAAAAATTATATTCTTTTAAAATTTTCTAGCCAGAAGGTGAAAAGCCATCCTAAGGAAAGAAGTAGACACTCAGGAGGCTGAGTCAGGAGGATCACTTGTGACCAGGAGTGTGAGGCTGAAGTGAACTATGACTGCACCACTACACTGCAGCCTGGGCAACAGAGCCAAAAGGAAGGAAGGAAGGAGAGGAGAAATGGGGGAGAAAGGGAGGAAGAAAGGAAGGAAACATGGAGAGAGGGAGGGAGAAGGAGAGGACGTTCTGTTAACAGCAGCATCACTAACTTTGGCATGCCAGTAGCTGTTAGGAACCCAGAGTGGAAAGTGAGAGCAGGAATGGAAGTATGCAAGGTCCACCTGTGAAGTGCAGAATTTGAGAGCTCAGGGGAGAGGCATCATTAATGATCATATTAAATATTAATAATAATATTAAATTCTTAATCTTGATTTTAATGTAGCCTGTCTCTTCTGCTCTAGATCCCCAGCTAATTTTGCTTTAGGCTTATAGGTTTTCAAACTTGGCTGCACATTGGAATCACCTGGATCTCATTTAGAAATACTGTTGCCTGCATCCCAGTGCCAAAGATTCTGATCTTCTTGCTCTGGGGTATAGCCTAGGCATTGGGAGTGTTTTAAGTTTCCCCTGCTACACTCCCAAACCTCCAGATAATTCTAATGGCCGCCAAGGTTCAGAACCACTGATTTAGGCTGTAAACGCTATTGTCCCTCCCATCTAGCACATAGTTTGTAGGTTCTCACAGTTGTACACGGTAGCTGATGAACTGGATTTGGACAGTGGGTTAGTTTCTATTGGTGCTGTAACAAATCCATGTTCCTTAAAACAACACAGATTTATTTTCTTATATTTCTGGAGGTCAGATGTCCAAAACAGATCTCACAGGGCTAAAGTCAAGGTCTCAGATGGCATCTGTGGCTCAGTGAGTAGGGTGCTGACTCCATATACCAAGGGTGACGGGTTTGAACTGCAACAAAAAATAGCCAGGCAACTGTAGTCCCAGCTACTCGGGAGGCTAAGGGAAGAGAATCACCTAAGCACTAGAGCTGGAGGTTGCTGTGAGCTGTGACACCACTGCACTCAATTGAGGGTGACAAAGTAAGACTCTGTCTCTAAAATAAATAAATCAAATCAAATCAAGGTCTCAGCAGTGCCGCATTCCTTCTGAAGGTTCTAGGGACAAATCACCTCCTTGCCAGCCCCAGCTTTTAGAGGCGACGCACATTCTGTGATTTCACGGCCCCACATCACTCTCACCCCTGCTTCCTTCCATGTCTCCTTCTCTGACTGTGACCCTCTTGCCTCTTTCTTATAAGGTCTTTCATGATTATATTGGCCTCTTGTGGATAATCTCCCCATCTTAATCCTTAATCACATTTGCAAAGTTCCTTTGGCCATTGTAAGGTAAGATATCCACAGGTTCCAGGAATTAGGACGTAGACATCT